AATACCAAAAAATCCCATGATAATTGCTTATGAGTTGCTGGCAGGGAAGTGAATGTGGAAATAAACAATGGCAATGTGACAGGAGAATTGCTAGAAGGTGGTTGAGTCCCATGTACATGAGGGCAGAAAAATGTTTCTTGAGTTTGCCAGGTTTCACAGAGTTTGCCAGGTAATTTGATTGATAAGCATAATTTTGCTAAGAGAAGTGAGGAAGGAAGTTAAAGGCAAAGAGCATGGAAATAGTGGAAAACCATTTAAAAAATGTGAGAAAGAGAAGAGTGGGTACAAGATGGGTAACTAAATAAGCAAAGGTCAGAGAATCAAGACTATAGATCATGATAGAATTTTGCTTTCTATCCTGGAGTTGAAATGAAAGCCATTGAATTTTGATCAGAGGAATAACATTTATCGAGTGCTTATTGTATGCCAAGATCTTTACACTATTATTTCGTGCAATATCCATAAACCAGTCATGTATGTAGACATTGTTATCACATCCATTTTGTAGATGAGAAAACTGAGTCTCAGAAAGGTGAAGATACAAATTACAGCTCTACAAACAGTTACAGAACTAGGTTTCAATACAGCAATTGAAACTCCAGGTGGTTCTCTTAATCTTTGTGCTATACTGCCTTTACTTTTGATAGAAATATATAGATTAGAAAGGAGGAAGAGGAGATTGGAGTGAGGAGATTGGCACAGAAACAAGTCAAGGTATAGAAATACTGTGGAAAATGGGTGAGTTTGGATTGATTGGTTATCAGTGATAAAAAGGAAGGAAGTTAGGACAATGTTCAGGTTTCTAACTTGGCAGCTATGTGGAGAGTGGTACATTTTACAGCAACAGGGAGTGCAAGTGGGGGAACAGATTGAAGGAATTGTGGTGGCAGGAAATGACACATTCCTCGTAGAGCGTGTGGAGATGGAGATCCCTGTGGAAACCAGTGGGTGCCTAGAGAAGGTACTATGTGAGGACTGGAACACAGGAGAGGTATGGTGTAGTAGTGAAGCGAACACTTAAAATTAAATCCAGACTCAACCATGATCACAATTATTTAAATTGGTGAAGTGGAAAGAAGGGACTACTGTTATTAACTCTTGCTTTTACTGTTGGTAAAACAGTCTTTGGGTTTCAGAATCTTTATCTGAAAAACAAGGGGAGAAGAGTAGATATTTGAAAGATACCTTTGGGAGTTCTTTTTATATTTTCTGTACTGTATTATATAAAATCTCTCTGCAGGTAATCTGGAAATTTACCTCATTGACCACAAGGGGGAGAACTCTAATTCTACATTAAGTCATTTACAACAATATAAAATAATCTAAGTACTTGCTATATGAAGTTGGTGATAGGCTGTTTCATTTTCATTTGTGGAAGCTGAGGGAATTCAACGACTATAGACAGTTTTAATGGAATTGAAGTGTGGTTTTGTGTTGCTAAAGTTGTGATAAAGTCACTGAATGTAAAAATCTATTTGTATTCAGCAATAATTACCCATGAAGGAACCAGATGCCTCTTTAATTAAAATAAAGACAGTAAAATTTAAATTCACCCTGGAAAGGTTTTTCTTTCCTAAAAACATTTTTTCAGTTATTCTTCAAAAAACTATAATCTTTCTGAAAGTCCTTGGTCACTCTGAAACAAATATTAGGTCATAACATGTCATTCTATTATAACGATATCCATATTAAAATAAAAAGATTAGAATAATGCTGGTCACACTATTTAAATGTTACATGTTCATTAAACGTGAGTATATGTTATATGTTCATTATTACATGAATGTTGAATATTATATGTTCAGTGTTAAAAATGTTAAAATATGTACTCTGGTTTTATGTAAAGTTTTATTGTAAGGAAACTATAACTCTCGTTGGGTTGAAAATTATCTTATGAGATTTCCTAAGGTTTAATGAGCCACATTCTTGAACTTGACCAAATTCAATTACATTCGTAGAGTATGAATGTAATATTTCTGCATTTTATCAAATATTTCCAAACATACACAGCTAAATGAGTGTTGTTCTCATTAAAGATATAATATTAGTGAGCTGTACAGAAATCTCAATAATGCAATTGTTACTGAAAACATATTTGTGTTTCCCCTTAGAGTCAGTAGCACACTCTTTTAATATGTTCAGTGACAGCCAATCTTCCTTTGAGAGTGAGTGTAATACTTAAAAACAAGCATTTCTATGAACAAAGATTGAATATTAAGGTCACCAATCAAGTTAGAGTATACATTATTTGAGGATCAAAGAAGTAGATGTAACTAAAATATTTAAAATCCCTTTGATTTATAAACCTCTTTAATTCATCTACCATAAAAGAGTCACAAAGTGTTTTCAGCAATGATGTTCCTGGAATAAGGAGAAATCCTCCTAAGGTGGCTACTAGGAAGGGTTACTTTCATTTGAATAAACACATTCTAGTGTGTTCACAAAAATAAATAAATAATTACATAAGTACTTTAATTTATTTATAGTCATGTTGTGTTTATTTTCCAGTTATTTTCACAGTTGACACTTCATAAATCCTTTAAATGTAAAATAATAGTATACTAACTCAATAATGTTATCATTTAGATATTTTCTATAACTTCTTCCAAAATGACTCAGATTTTTAATGTTTTCCTTTGGCTTGATGAATTAATTTTCTATCAATATTTCTCACACCAGAAAGCATTATAGACCAATAAAAGATCTATGCTAGACAGTGTGGAGCATACACATTTATTATTGCTTATATATTCAGTTTGGCACAGTGCTTGGCCCTCTAGTAGGTATTTACTATTAGATATTTAGTGAATATTAGTTGCATAAATGAATAAACAAATGATATGAAGTTACATATATAAATATTATATAATATACAATTACGTTTTATATCTATTATTCCTGTTACTTAGGAATATAATATTATTTCTATTAATTATATATCATTGTTTCAGACTGCTGATAATCATCCACCCAAAACGTAGTGGTTTAAATCGACGTTAATTGTTTTCCACAAATCTGCAATTTGGACAGGGCTCAGTTAGAACAGCAGTCTCTGCTCCACTGCTCCATACAGTGTCAGCTGGTCTGACTTGAAATCCAGGTTGACTGGGAGGCTAGAATCACCCGACGATTCACTCATTCACATGTCTAATGGTACTACTGGTTGTTGCCCAGGATCTCAGCTGCAGATGTCATCTGGAAAACTACTATTGTTTAGGTTCCAAGAGCTACCATTCAAATGATCAAGGCAAAGTGCATGACATTTTTATGATCTAACCTTGGAGGTCACGTGGGATCACTTCTGTTGTATCCTATTGGTTGAGGCAGTCACAAAAGTCAGTCTGATTTCAAGGGCAGCTGATGTAGAAGATACCATTTGATGGGAGGAATGTTAAGGTCTTGTTGGAAGAAGAGCATTGGGATGGAATATATTGCAGTGACTAGTTTTGGAAAATATAATGTAATATATACATACATGTATATATGTAATTTTATTTATAAATTGTACTTTCGTTAGCTAGCTAACTTTAGAAAATACTGTTCCCAAACAAAATTTACCCCGTTAAAGGGATTCTGTCAGATCCAATGAACATTTATTGTTCATTTCCTTCTTCCTGTTTCTGCTCATTTTATGTTCTCTTAGATATGCTCATCTGCCTTCCCGAAACTCTCCTCACATTTCTTCAAAGCGTAGAACAAGGTTTGCTTCTTTATTGTTTTTTTTCTATTTATTTATTTGGCCTGGAGAGCATTTACTCTTTATCTCCACTCATTTTGTCATTGAACATTTACTATGATGGTGCCTATGTCTTTTTCACAGTTCAAAGAATAAATAACACATTGCTGACTAACATTAGGTATTTATTTTTTACTAAACTGATAAAATGTTTGTAAATTATATACTCCTTTTTAAGCAGAATAATTACTTCTCGTTTTATCTAAAATATACTCTTTTCATCACTAAATTTAAATGAACAGAACTTCAAGTTCAGCTAAAAGTGAAAAATGTCATTATATATCTAAATCTGTATTGCACAATTTAAAAATAAAAATGATCTTTCTTGAGATTTGATTCTTATATGAAACAAATGATGACAAATTATCTGCATATGACAAATTTAAAGTGTATACTGAAATTACTTTTTTTCAGAGACTGAAAATCAAATAAATAAAAAATGAAAATAACATTTTCTTCATTAATTTTACAGTCTGTTTCATAAGGTATTGAAGTATTTTTGCATATCCTTGAAGTAGTGAAAATATTAATGTCATTTTTAAACAATCTAAAATTTTAAATAATGCAAAAAAGCATTCATCCTGAGTAAAAGAAGGGAGAGACCAACTTGAAATAGGTCATATAGAAATTCCATATAATTAACTTCTTTATAGGAAGTAACTGCAAAAATAAGCTTATTTTCTGAATTCAGGAATCATGTAGAGATTACTCTTTCATTTGTGCTCTTAAAGTCTTTCAACATACTGGTACTATAATAATGATCACATCATATCATGTCATATATATTTACTTTAAAAAATAATTGCCTCGAACTTTAGATTGCAAGCAACTCAAGGGTGGTGTTTTCCCTCTAAGTTCTGTACTTTGAGAACAAAATTGTCTTTCCTGAAATTTGATTCTATGTGATGGAAGCTGCTCATTGACTATTCAGAGGATTAATGAGAATCTGAATCACTGGTCTTTTCTCATCCATACTTTTAAAAAAAAATTAACTTATTCCATTAAAATGATGTTAACATTTAATAACTTATTAAACCCTACCACCTATTAAAATAATGCAATAAACTTAATATCAAGACCAACATAAATTTTCAAGTTTAGCTCAACATGTTCTGTAAAGATTAGTATATTACCTTTGTGCACATTATGGTGTTGTTTCTTTTTTTTAAAGAGAAGAATATCTTTAGAAATATTTTCCTTTTATTTATGTAGCATAAATTCCTTGAGAGATTTGACCACATCGACCACATCATCTCTCTCAGTCCTAGAAACGGGAAGGTGCAGGCCATACCACCTCGGAATCCAAGGTGATATGTATTGGTTTATTAAACATGTTTAGGAACGTTTCTGGGTTCAGGAATTCTTCAGATTTGCACAAGTACTTTATTATTTGTTCTGGGAGGAGTAATTCGGGTACGAGTTGGTGCAAGTTATCGCCTGGTCCTTTAGTGCCCACTTTAACTGTCTTAAAAATGTAGAGTGCTAGTTTATGAGTTTGGGTGAGAAACTCTGTGACGACCTCCTCTAGGGACTGCGACTGTGTCACGTCATCGAGATACATGACAGGCACTTTTATTACTGAAACATACCATTGCATGAAGATCCTTGTAGGGATGTTATGGGACATGACTATAATTTTCATTCCTTGGATAAAAAATTCTCTTTCATTCTTTTCACGGTTGACATAATCTAAAAGAATCCGGTAAAGAGTACCAGAGGAAGACTCAAGGATATGCAGAATAGAAGTAGGATATATGAGCAATAATCCTGTCACTGTTTCTCCTAGGTGATACTTTAAAATTGACTGGAATGCTTGTTCATAGTATTCGGTAATATCTTTTTTTTCTGTGTTGGCTGTCGTCTTGGCCACTAGAAACATCCTATGAAGAAGTAATTTCTTTAGCTGTAGTCTTAGCTTCTCCTCCTGAAAATGCAAGTAATTGCTACGTGGAACTTGAGGCGATAGAAGAGCCTCCAATTGGAAAGGTCTTTTGCTTGCCTTTTGGGTATGGCCTGAGAAGGACATCATGAGTCCTAATTATTCTTGTAGATAGCTTATTGCAATAAAGATCATCAAGATATCTCTTCAGTGGTGAACTCTTATTTTTATTTCTTCTGACAAAAAGAAAAAAAAAAGGAGTTTATTTAGTTTGTCAAATGCTACTGCACAGCAAAATCCCTTCCCAGGGGTATCAATGAACAGTGTCTTTGAAATGAAAGAGAATATTAAAACAAGACTCAAATTATGGAGATTTTTTAAAAAGTTTACAACTAAATAACTAACACACACCTTAGGAAAAACTCTCCAACCAACTGGGGAGTGGAGAGAAAAGAGAACTTAATCTAGAGAAGTCCACTCTGTTTTTGTTTACATTGTTATTTTCTTCTTCAATTTATAGTCCATTTTTTCTTGGCCCTCATCCTTGAATCACACCCCCTCCCCCCACACACACACACATAGCGTGAGAGAGAGAGGAATGTATCTGCTCATAGTCCCTGACAGCTGCATTGCATTACATTAAAATGTCCTTTTATTCATGGAACGGTGATCACAGATTGTCCTTAATTTGTCAAGTTTTTAAAATGGTATTTTATGGTAATTCCCCAATTTATTTTATAAATTTAACAGGTCGATGATATTTTTTAAATCTGGGGATCTCTCAGTCCTAATTGGCTACTTTACCCTTTACCCAATACATTGAACGTTAACAATGTCGATTGGATAATAACAGTAAACTTTGTAAGTAACTAATTTTGATTGTCTTTTCAACAAACCTCAGAAACGGCTCTATTGCTTTTCTTTTTTCTGTCCTTTTCTTTCTTTTTTTGATGGGGTCAAATGAAAAATACCTTTATTTTTAACTTCTTCTTACAATTTTTTTCTTCTCTCCAGGTCAACTAAACATTTCTTTCTTTCTTCAAGTGCTTCTTTCTCTTACTTGTCCACAAGGTCCTACTTGCCCTCTATCACTCTTCCAACTGCCAGTGTGTCTTAGGTGCTCTCAGCTGTCCTGTGTTCTATTCTGATTTCCATAGTGCCTGAGCGAATCAGAATGTCAGTAGTGTTAAAGGGCCAGAGCACCCTGGCAACTCCCATTTCTTAAGTTAATGAGGGTATCTCAATAGATCTCAATATCCGAAAAAAGAAATGCGGGCTTCTTTTCTGGAATGGCTTATTGTTAGCCAGATGCCTTTGTAAAGCAGACATCTTCCTAGACATATTCTTTTCATTTTCCCCACAATTTAGAAAAGAGGAAGCTAAAGTAGGGAATAGTTAGTTATATACCTTGCACACAATTCAAACATACTCTCAATAACCTCCCTATTATGTCTACCTAGGGTAAAGAGATATTATAAACTAACTAAAGACTATAAGAACATATATCAGATGTTTGGTTTCCCAGTGCATATAAAAGTTATGTTTACACTATACTGTAATACTGTGTAATAGCATATATCTAAAAGATATTCATACCTTATTTAAAAATACTTAATTGCTAAAAAATGCTGACCATCATGTGAGCCTTTAGCCAGTCATAACCTTTTTGCTGATGGAGAGTCTCACCTAGCTGTTGATGGCAGCTGACTGACCAGGGTGGTGATTGCTGAAGGCTGGGGTGGCTTTGGCAACTTCTTAAAATAAGACAATGAAGTTTACTACATTGATTGACTCTTTCTTTCATGAACAATTTCTCTGTAGAATGCTATGCTATTTGATAGCATTTTACCCACAGTAGAACTTCTTTCAATATTGGAGTCAATCCTCTCAAACCCTGCTGCTGCTTTATCAACTAAGTTTATGTAATATTCTTAACCTTTTATTGTCATTTCAACAATCTTCACAGCATCCTCACCAGGAGTAGATTTCATCTTAAGAAACCATTTTCTTTGCTTATCCATAAGAAACAACTCATTCATTCAAGTTTTGTCATGAGATTGCAGCAATTCAGTTATCATCAAGCTCCACTTCTAATTCTAGTTCTCTTGCTATTTCCACCACAGTTACTTCCTCCACCAAAGACTTAACTCCCTTAATGTTATCTGTGAGCATTGGAATCAACTTCTCCTAAATGCCTGTTAATGTTGATATCTTGAACTATTCTCATGAACCATAAGTATTCTTAATGGCATCTAGAATGGTGAATCTTTTCTTGAAGGTTTTCAATTGCTTTTCCCAGATCCAGGAGAGGAATCACATCTACAGCAACTATAGCCTTATGAAATGTATTCCTTAAATAATGATTGAAAGTAAGAATTACTCCTTGGCCCATGGGCTTCAGAATGGATGTTGTGTAAGCAGGCATGAAAACAACATTAATCTTATTGTGTGTCTCCATCAGAGCTCTTGGATGAACAGGCACATTGTCAATGGCAGTATTATTTTGAAAGAAAATTTTTTTCTTTTGTGCAGTAGGTCTCAACAGTAGACTTAAAATATTTAGTATACCATGTTGTAAATAGATATGTTGTCATCCAGGCTTTGTTGTTCCACTTATAGCACATGGGCAGAGTAGATAGAGCATAATTCTAAAGGGTGCTAGGATTTTCAGAATGGTAAAAGAGCACTGGATTCAACTTAAAGTCACCAGCTGTGTTAGCCCCTAACAAGAGAGTTGACCTGTCTTTCGAAGCTTTGAAGTCAGGCATTGACTTCCTCTCTCTAGCTATGAAAGTCCTAGATGGCATCTTCCTTCAATCTAAGGTTGTTTCATTTACATTGAAAATGTTTGGTTTAGTGTAGCCATCTTCATTAATCATCTTAGCTAGATCTTCTGGATAACTTGCTGCAGATTCTACATCAGCATTTGCTGCTTTGCTTTAGACTTTTGTTACCAAGATGGCTTCTTTCTTTAAACCTCATAAACCAATCTCTGCTAGCTTCAAACTTTCTTCTGCAGCTTCCTCATCTCTCTCAGGCTCATAAAATTGAAAACAGTTAGGGCCTTGTTCTGCAATAAGTTTTGCCTTAAGGCAATGTTGTGGCTGGTTTGATCTTTTATCCAGACCACTGCACATATCAGCAATAAGGCTGTTTTGCTTTCTTATCTCTCGTATGTTGACTGGAGTAGCACTCTTAATTTCTTTCTAGAACTTTTCCTTTGCATTACCAATTTGGCTAACTTTGGCACAAGGGGCCTGGTTTCCAGCCTATCTTGGCTTTTGACATGCCTTCTGTACTAACCTTAGTTATCTCCAGCATTTGATTTAAAGTGAGAGACATGGGAATCTTCTTTTCATTTGAACAATTAGAGGCCATTGTAGAGTTATTAACTGACCTAATTTTAATATTATTGTGTCTCAGGGTATAGGGAGGCCTAAGGAGAGGGAGAGAGACAGGGGAACGGCTGGTCGGTGGAACAGTCAACACACACACAACATTTATTGATTAAGTTCCCTATCTTATATGTATATGATTTGTGGCTCCCCAAAACAATTACAATAGTAACATCAAAGATCACTAATCACAAGTCACCATAACAAATACAATAATAATGAAGATGTTTGAAATATTGTGAGAATTACCCAAATGTGTCTAGGACACAGATACATGAAGTGAGCAAATGCTTTTAGAAAAATAACACTGATAGACTTGCCTGAGGCAGGGTTGCCACAAATCTTCAATTTGTAAAAAACACAATATCTGCAAGCACAACTAAAAATGAAGTACAATAAAATGAGATATTCCAGTATAAGAAAGTTCTTCCATAGGTTTGGTTTTCTTATTCCAAAGGGAATTGAAGTTAATTTTTAGAATAAAAGTTAATAATACCATACCTTAAGTTACATTTATGTGAGCTCTAAACTATAATTTTAAAATAAGGTTAGAAAATATCCTTATTTAATTTTTGAAAATTAAACCTTAGAGTATTTTTCCCCCCATAAGGTTTGTGTTATTCAAACTAATTAGCTGGTTTTAATAATAGACAGTGACAAATTATCCCAGAAAGTAGAAGCTGAGAGATGATTTAATAATTCCTTAATTGTGTGATTCACAAAAATTGACTATAATTTCTCATTGTTATTTACTCTGTCACTCCCTGAAACAATACGATCTTTCCCAAGGTACATGGAAACTTGTCATTGCCCAGTATAAGAACAGTTCTTACCCTCATTCCTCTTACTGCTTTGCAGAATGTAATTATGTTGACCACAACCTCTTTGATGGCCTTCTCTCCTCCCTTGGTTTCCATAACTCTGTACTTCCCCGAAATTCTATCCAAATCTTTATTTGCGGCCTAGCCCAGTTCCTTCTCAGACCCAACTCTGGGCAATGCCAAAGCTCTGTGCTCATCATGCAGATCTTTTCTCACTACCTCCTTGCCCAATTATCTCAGCACCATCTATGTTTCTTTTCTGTGAGGGCGGGTGGGTGTTCCCTGATTTCGCTCTTGTACCCACATTGGATGATTGACATTGCTGATTGACCATGGAGTGTTTACTGTTGGGTTTAACTTTGGACTTGGACTCTTTCTCAGTTTAAGTCTCATGGCAGATATAATGAGTTTGTTGAGTTTGACAAAGAAGAAAAAACTGAGTTTCCATTCCAATATTTTCTCTGTACAGAAGATTCCTAAATCACAATCTTATTTACAGCTCTTCTTAGATGCACGGCTACCCTTTCAAATTTTAAATGCCAACACTGTAATTATTTTTTTTATATTTCCCTTTAAAAAGACCCCATTTATGTTTTAATTAACATTTTTTTTCTCTCTCATCTCCTAGGCCAACATCTATGGTCTTATCTTTTCATGCTTCCTAAAATTTATTTCCCAGATCTATTCTGTTACTAAGTCTTTTTACTCATTTTAACTGTATGATGAGTTCTTGATTTTCCTGCCTCCTTCATAGTCCTAGCTATTTATTTGGATTATAATAAGAGTCTTCTACCGTTGGTATTTTTCTAGATTTTTCCACTTCACCTATTCAACTATGAGCATGAAACTTTAAGACCTTAAGATGCTAATTTTATGAAGTTTTCTGTTTACTTCCCCTTGATGGAATGCTAGGAGAGGGAGCACCTACCTT